CAAGAGCTCAATAATGGAAGGAGATGAGAAAGAACCCATTGACAAGTAAGACTCATAGGACACGATTTTTCGTTTACTAGTCAGGATCAAGCTAGGATCACAAGTTTTTGGAAACTTACCATTAGGTTCTCCTAATTCACTTGTTTTCAAATATTTATACAAAACATATTGATACTAACAGAAAACAACGTGAGTATGAAAAGTCTTGTGAGTGTGATCACATTTACCATTGAGGAAGATAAAGCTAAAGGGTCACAAATATGTTCACCATTATTTAAATAACTGTAGCATTAAATGATAAGTGATATGCTCTTTACAAATTTATATGGTAGCTATTAAATAATAGTATAACCCTTGAAATATAGGGATGTTTAGATGCATGTAACCTAGAGGAGGAGGGAATTCAGTTCTGTAGAAAAAGTATACAAACTGAGACAACCATACATTTATACTAACCTGTGAAAGTCTAGAATGAGAATGTCAGTGGAAGGACTTGCGTATTCTGGCCAGAACCTACAGCAGTATTGAACAGCAAATATCTGCTGATTCTCTTATTGGGACCATATCAGAAAGCAAGGGCTCAATGACATGTAACTGCTAAATGGTGTCTCACAAGAAAGACAAAAAAGTAAAAGACAGAGCCTACAGGTTTAAAAGTAAACTCCTCTTTCTAGTTTCAAAAATCCTATCAACAGGGCTTTGGAGAAAATGAGTGGATACAGCTCTATGCCTGGCTTTTTTATTAGAGTGAGGAGACATGCTTAATCTCTGCATCTTTCTTAAAGCACAAGCCTTGTGACATGTTTCCTTCATTGTCTACTGAGCAGGCTCTTCCATGTTTTACAAAGCAACAGTCAGCCAGCCACAGATGGACATACACACACACAGGTACACATGCACAGGTACACATATATACACATGCACACAAGCACACACACACACACACAAGACATGTACACATAAAGACAAACACATACATACCCAGGATCATGTACATACAGATACACAGGTGCATTTACACACAGGTACAGGTATACTTACACATACACATAAATAGACATATATTATACAAAGCAGGTCAACTTCAGTAAACTGTATTTAACAAATGCCAAAATAAACCTGCATAGTTAAGTCTTAAAGATTTATAAAAATATATCTTCTCAGGTGCTTAAAGATTTTACTATTTCAAAGAAACTGCATTTATAATCAGAAGCTTAACATTCAAAATCTTAACTGTTGGAGATTCTCTGTCATGTCATTTTTGTGCTTGCGTTGAGTTTGTACTCACTGTTCTTCCTGTCTCAGATCTGATGAATGGATTTAGGCATTTTAGAGAATTCTAAAATCCAATGACTTGAGCAATGACCACTCATAAGAGAAATAAGGAGTGCTGTTACAAACTCATTTTGACATAAGATATGCTTTTTATTGCTTTCATTTCTTAAGGTGAATTTTCTCATGCTGCTGTCAAGAAAAAGTAAAACATCTCAGCTAATTGTATTTCCCATTCTTGTAGATCAGACAAAGCTGCAGAGAGATCAATGGATTTCATCTTGACCTGTGTTCCCCTTCCTCTTTCCTTTTTATGTGTTCTACTTCATGTTTTGAAAGTTCTTTTTGAGGTTTCAATATTTTATTTTATTTAAGTTTTATTTTAAATTATCGAAATTAAAGCATTTGAGGGGGAGAGATGATTTCATACAAAACAAGAAATTCTAAAATGTATTCATTAAAATGTATTCATTAAACAAAGAGAGAGAGAGAGAGAGAGAGAGAGAGAGAGAGAGAGAGAGAGATTAACATAACAGAAGTCGGTTTAGATCTCTAGTGTTGTCATAATGTGACCAAAATCACCTGTCCAGCTCAGAGCTAGAGATCATAGAAGCTATATTATATTCTGATGCAATGTCAGAAAAAAGGGATTTATAAAAAGAAGAGGAGGAGGAAAAAGATGGAGGAGAAGAAGGAGAAGGAGAGGAGGAGAAAGAGAAAAAGAAGGAAGAAGGAAGAAGGAAGAAGGAAGAAGGAGGAGAAGGAGGAGGAGGAGGAGGAGGAGGAGGAGGAGGAGGAGGAGGAGGAGAAGGAGAAGGAGAAGGAGAAGGAACACTACACTACACAACTACACACAAGGAAAAATTAAGTCCCAAATGACAGGCTCTATCATGTCCACTGTCTCCACTCTAAAATGGCACAAAAGAAATAGCTAACCAAATGCTGAATACTACTTTTACTGTAAAACAGGTAACTGTTGGTCCAGGAAAAGAACAGGATATGACTATCTGTCTAAAAAGTCCCCATCACATAGGTGTGTATGTGCTTCCAAGCAGACAGGATTGAGAAACCAGGGTTAGATGCTCAGGGAGTCACAATTTCATCTGTAGACTCATTAAGATTTACAAAGGGGCTGGACGTTCCCAGCCTCCATTTCACTTTGGAATCTCCATGGGAGCTCTTCCCAACCAGTTCTATGGCTAAAAGAACCTTCTGGATGGGCTTTCTGCTGTACCTCAAAGTGAGTCAACCTTAACCAGGGAGCTAATGTGGAATTTCTCAGTTCTCAAGTTCCTAACGCACAGGGTTAAAAGGTACATTAAATTCTGAAGGTATCTATGCTACAAAATATTTTAAAATTGATGACAGTACAGTATTCATTTATTCTTGAAATTCCAATCCTAGGTCAAACTTGTGAATGATGACACTGCCAACCTTGCCACCCAGCTGAGTCAACAGTGTCAGTTAGATATCCTGCTGTAGCAGTGGTTCTCAAACTGTGGGTTGTGATCATTTTGCTGGGGTGGGGTGGGCTGGGGCTGGGTGCATCAAATGATCCTGTCACAGAGGTCACCTGAAACCATCAGAAGTATCAGACATTTACACTGCAATTCATACGAGTTATGAATTAGCAATGAGTTACAGTTATAAAGTAGCAATGAAATAATTTCATGGTTGGGAGTCACCATGACATGAGGAACTGTGTTAAACTAATACAACATTAGGAAGGTTGATGGGTGCTGTTTCAGAGCCTGAGTGTACCCTAAGCCAATCAGGCTACATTTGTTCACTTTGGCTGAAAAGCATGCATTGGAATTCATCTGACACTTATCTCCAAAACCCGTTGCTGTTTTCTGCTGTCCAGGCAAGACTGGACTCAGTCTCCACCTTCTTGTTCACCTTCTGGTAAAAGAAGCCACCAAACTGTCCCATTGTTCAGATTGATATGATGCTGGAATTCCTTCATCTTGTTGCTCTGGGTCACTCAAAACTTTGAGGTCTCAAAATTCATCTGGTAGCCAGACAGCCACCCCTCACAGCCATGCAACAGAGTGTCCCAGATGGAGAGCCCAGTGATGTTAAAGTCCACATCACAAGCCCAGAGTGATATGCTCCTTCTTCTACTTGTCTTAATTTTGGCATTTTCCCCAGTGTTATGCCAGAAGGATGAACCAAAGGTCAGCTTCAGTCCATGGGTAAGCTGGTCTTCCACATTGATCGTGGTGCCCAGAGTAATGTGTGTGTCCCACTTCTCAATGTCAACCAGCACCCAGTCCACCTGTACTTGATTTCCAGACTGACATTTGGTGGTCTCCATGTTGGCAGAGCTTGAGCTCATAAATTACAACCCATTCTTGGCCTTTGTTTTCAAATCAAGTTTTATTAAGCCAAAGCTACAGCCCTTGGTGAAGATGTTCCTGGCAGACTTGCCAAGATCAGCATATGTGACAGGCACAGTCATCCTTTCAGAGGCAGTGACAGAGTTAGCCATTGTGCCTACTGTGAGGACTCGATTCTTTTAAAGTTTTGAATATAGAGCTCAAAATGATATTTTCAGTCCCCTTTCCCCAACTTCTAAAGAGTCTAAGCTCCCAAGGCAGCTGATGACTCCAAGGAAACGTCTTCTGGACACACAGGACAGCTGCACATACAAACTCATAGCAGCTGTGACACTGTACAAAAGCCATGCAGGCATAAGCCAGACCAAATCCCTGCCGGGAGAGAGGACTGGACACACAATCTCACCCACAAGACATCGAGTTACTGGAAATTGACTGCTGCTGGGAAAGGGACAGAGAGTTTCCCCAGGGGTGTAGACCTTAAGCCTGTTGATTTTTTTTTTAAGAACAATGGTATGTAGTAAATGTTTAGCTGTTGACTCTCAGAAGCTAGGATGGAATGTTATGAGCTATCTATTATCTATCTGTAGTATAAACATCTCAAGTAGAGATACCATACTATTGACGTGAGATTACCAACCATAGGGTTGGGAGAGATGTGTGTGATCAGCTCTTCAGGGCTCTTACAAGAAGGTTCTAATACCCTAATATATGATCACATGGTCCAGTGGTAGGGATGTCTGTGAGACCTATCCATTGAGATTCTGGTGTCTTAGGAGACTGTTGCTGCTATCACAGCCTTTTACATGGGAAAATTAGTATGCAACTACATTTTAATATATAATCTTTTCATCTAATGTGTCACAAGTTAAGATCATGTCTTAGAGGTTAATAGAGGGGGGTATGAGGAGCGAGGGCCGTGTGGGAGTGAACTGGGCAGAGAGGGGGGCTATAATTGAGATGTAAAGTGAGTAAATACATATATTAATTGAAAAAAAGATCAAAAAAAGAAAAAAATCATGTCCCCAAATCTAATAATTTTGTTAAATTAAGATTCAGTAGAGTCTAGATGCTTAGCTAAGATGTACCCAGAACTATCTTTTCAATCAGATTCCTAATTGAATACTTATTTTAAAACCAATGGAAACTTTGGTCATGGGAAAGAGACACACACACTGCAAGAATCTGGCTTGATAGAACTGGTCTCATGACATATCTGGGCCCAGGGTCAGTGCTAAGTGTCTTGGCAGAGAGTGCTGCATGCTTCAAAAGTTTATCTTTGGAGGATCTCACTAAGAGCTTTGGAAACCACAGTTCATGTTCTATACCCATGTTTAGAAAGGTAATCTCACACGAGATCTCAGAAAACAAGGAAGAAAATTACCCAGACACTGCCAGTCCTTAAACGGTTCATAGTTTGTAGGTAAGTGTCAGAATGAATAGAAAAATCTCCCATTAAGGAATTATAAAATGTTTTACCAATTAAAAAGAAGGGTTAGTTTTGTGATTATTTTTTAAACATATTGACCATATTGATAATATCATCTCTAGGAGAAAGAGAAAATTCTAGTGTAACTGATTTACATTAGTTTCTGCTTTTTTCCATGTGTTTGTGTGTGTGTGTGTGTGTGTACATGTTGTTGTCGTCGTCATTGTTGTTTGTTTAATAAAGCAAAAACATAGCTTTTGCTTTGTTACCATGTATCAGAAACATCAGATGATTTTATTGATAATAAAGGAAGAAAGTTTCTAACCTGTAATGACATCATTTATTTGTCTATTTATTTATCTTTAAAATAAAGCAGAGAGGATAACTATCAGGAAACTTTTAGAACAGGTTTTGTAAAGAGAGTTAAATGAGTAGCCTTCCTGGGATATATCAATATTCATGAAAAGAATGTGATAGAAAAAGTGCTAAATGCTAATTGTGCTATCTCTTGTCTTTCTGATAGTAAACATTCTTATAGGTAGGAAGTAATCTTATTTTCATGTACGTTCTTTTGTAACTGGTGAATTTGAGCACCTGTTCCTGTATTTGTTGACCTTCTGTACTCATCCTTTCTAAGATATCTATTTGAATCTTATCCTTAAAAAAATGCTTCTATTTGTGTGTGTGCATGTATGTGCATGTGTGAGTACATGCTCTGTGTGTGAGTGTGTGTATGTGTGTTCACACGTATGAACATCTGGGTAGAAGTCAGAGGACAGTTTGTGGGAGTCAGTGTCTCTACCATATTAGTCCTGGATTCTGAATCCAGTCAGCCAACTCTTTTACCCTCTGAGCTATCTTACCAGCACATTTTGTCCACTTCTAAATCAGATAATTGTGTTGGTCAGCTTTGCTCTTAAGTTATGAGTTTTCTTTTACATGTTTCTTACATATTTTGCCTATTAACCCCTGTTACACACACACACACACACACACAACAATTTTTCTAATGTATACACTGCCTTTTCATTTTCTTAGTGACATGACTTTAAATAATGACCAGAAAAATTTAAGAAGTCACTACACATTTAGCCAACACAAGCTGATGCCCAGTTAGAATTTTTCCTTGTCATACCTCCCAGGAATAGTTCTTACATGTCAGTTAGTGTTCTGTCTGCTGCTTCCTGGGAAAGAATGCAGGAGAAAAAAAGAATGTCTTTCAGAGGATCTGTAAATTCCCAAAGCAGCAGGAGAAGTTATAAAAAGAAAGGCATTCAAGGCATTCAACTATTTCCATGGGAACATCTTCATGACTGTCTTCATGTTATCTTTATTAAGTGATTAAAAAAAAGGAAGAAAAGAAGAGAGATAGAGAGAAAGAAAGAGAGAGATAGAGAAAAGAAAGAAAGAAAGAAAGAAAGAGAGAGAGAGAAAAGAAAGAAAGAGAGAGAGAGAGAAAAAGAAAGAAAGAAAGAAAGAAAGAAAGAAAGAAAGAAAGAAAGAAAGAAAGGAAGGAAGGAAGGAAGGAAGGAAGGAAGGAAGGAAGGAAGGAAGGAAGGAAGAAAGAAAGGAAAAGAAATCTACTGAAAAGCTACCTAACATTTGTGTGGGGCAAATCATGCTTTCTTCCTAACTTCTAATACTGCATGGCGTGTGTGTGTGTGTGTGTGTGTGTTTGTGTGTGTATGTGTGTGTTTGTGTGTGTTTGTGTGTTTGTGTGTGGTGTATTTTTGTAAATGTATGATTTTTACATATGTGTGTATATGTTTGTGTAATGTCTATGTGTGCATGTCTGTGTGGTGTATGTGTGTATATGTATATGTTTGAGTATGTATGTGTGTGATGTATAGGTTTATGAATGTATGTTTTTGTGTATGTGTGTGTATGTTTGTGTGTGTGAGTCTGTGTGTGTATGTGTGTGGTTTGTGAATGTATGTTTTTGTGTATCTATGTATATGTTTGTTTGTGTATGTCTATGTATGTGATTGTATGTTCTATGTGTATATTATGCGCTTGAGTTTAGTGCACAGATTTGTGCAGCTGCTTTTCTCCGTCTAACTCTACATGTTCTCCATGCCATCAGGTCACTGAATGCAGGTCACTAACCAGCATTCTACTTCCTTTAACCACTGAGTCATCTTGCTACTGTGTGCTGACTTCTCAACCATTCTTTGTCAATGAGTATACACTTTGCAATTAGTCATTAACATTAACTATAAGTTTTACCCTGTAGAACCCACTTTTCCATTCAGTTCTTGCTTCCTGTGTTCCAGAAGAAACACTGCTGTGAGTCAAATGGATGCTTACCAGCATTTACCTGTCCTGGTAAGTGTCTGATGTTCTAAAATTCTCAAATACTAAAATGAAATCTGGGATATAAAACCAAAGCCAATAAAGTTCTTGGAAGTCAGGCAAAATTAATAAGAACCTACAGAACGTTAAGAACAGAAGAATCAACTAACTTTTAAAAGTGATTGATGTGTATTTATTGGACAGAAAACCCACAATGTCAACACAGTGACACTACTACCTCAGGGAAAATTATGCAGTTTGACCAAAACTTGTCTGAGTCTTTTCCGCATAGAGCCTTTGCCTCTGTCACAGAGACAGTCACTTTCCCGAGCAGAGTTTCTGACTTTTCTCTAGAGCAATAACACAAACCAATATGGCAAAGCTAAAGTGTTGATGTTTGCTGATTATTTGCACCCAACAAAAAACACATACATACTGAACGTATGCTCTTGTTCATGCAGCTTCTGGAAGTTGCTCGCATTATCCGTAGAGCTAAGGTATCTTTTCACTGGCAGATGTAAATTTTTTCTGTAACTGTACATAGTGTTCTATCTCTATTGTTTTTGATGGTTATTGGATTCATTCCATTTTATTGATTGCATTGCAATTAAAAATAATCTGCTGCTATAAAATTCTTTTGTATGTGTCTGAGAACCGTTTGTAAATACCTTTCTAACACAGAAACTCAAAACAGTAGCTGCTACATTTCTTCAGCTCTCACGTCTGCAGCTGGACTTATTCACAGCAGCTTACTTTAAGAACACCTAGTTATATGAAAGTTTCAGGTCTCAATCTGTTTTGGAACTTGTTAGAACTAGTTTTTTATAGCTCTGGATGGGGGATTGCCTCTTACTGTAATTTCAATGAGGCTGACTGCCATCTCTTTATTGGGTATTTGAGATTTCCTTTTTGGAATGTGTGGGTTCAAGTTTTCTGCTCTTTTTCCCTACAGTTGACTTGCTTACACTCATCTAGAAGGGTCTTGCATATGCAAATGGTTCTTTGTCCTTTTTCTCTAATATTTGCTGTAATGGCTTTCCTCATTCCATAATTTCTCTTTTGACTCCTTGTGGTGCTTTTGCACCTGGTCCAGAAATTTGTGTTTGATAACATTATGACAAAGCAAAGCAAATGAACAAACAATAATAATTAAACAATAATGTGTCATCCAATTTATACCTCTAAAGAATCATGTCTTGCAAATGTATCCAGTATCACTCATTCCCCCTGATTCTCTGTCCTAGTAGTGACCCATCAGTACTTACATATCTAGTTTAAGCCATATTGGCTCAGAGTTGCCTTTGCAGAGGTTTTTAATTTTTTTTCATGTGTCTCAAAGTTTTCCTTCCATAAAACCTAAATCCTAACCAATATCTAAACAAATTAATTTTTAGAAATCCAGTGTATTAAATGCCACATGACAAACTAACTTTCCAATTTCTTTAAAGTTTGCAATTGCAGGCAACTCACTATGTAAAGAGGGTAGATTGAGTATGGGAGTCTCATCATTCACTGTATAACACAGACTCAGCAAATGAGTGAGTTAGAGTTTTTTCTTCCTTTCAAATTCAACAAAAACAAGACTCTTGATGCCTAAATTCTTGATAAACACCAATTGCTTGGTGCTTCACCTATCATGAAGAATTTGCTCTTCCAGGCTCTATTTTTCCACAGCCTGGAAAGTATTAAGGAGGTACAATCTTCCCTTCGGTTCTCCATATTCCTGGCCTGCCCTCCTCTGTTTTGCTTTCTGTGTCGGAAGCCTGATCCCTGAAGATTCTATCAAATGAGTCTCTGCCTTTCTGAGGTGTGCTATACCAGAGAACCTTGACAGGAGAACAGAACATCCCTAGGGAAGCTTGAATTTGAGATGCAGAATGCCCTGTCTTCCTTCCTGCTAAGTGGCTTCTGGCTGGCTGTGTGCAGTGTCCACCCTGATACTCTCTGCTCAGTTTTCTCTGTGTGCTTTCTATAAAATCTTTCCTTCAGATCCAGGAGTGCTAATGGCTCTACTATTATCAAACCAGGTTACTGCAGTGTTCCACGATTCCACTTTGCAAACAGTCCCATTGTAAATGAACTCTCCTGGAATTATTCTCATTCGTGAGTGCCATCTGTTTCCTTTGGAGACTCTGAGTGATACAGAGTTAATAGTCATGCATGTGTGCAAAAAGAGAACAAAAACAAAGTGTTAAGTTGTAAGGCTGAAAGCTCTCTCTGGCTAACGGATAAAATACATAGAAGCATACATGTTCTTTTTTGAGGAATCCAGAGAATAGTCACGGAGCACATTCATCATGTTGAGATTTGGAGATGTATGGAATAATGAACACAAAGCTATCCATCTCTCTAGAAGGACAGGTGCTCTCTACCAGGACTCGGCTGTAGACCACAGGCTTTGACTGACCACTGGATTTCATGCTGCTAGTGTGGAAAGCACTGTCTCTGTACAGTCCCTTGAATCCTCTTGTTAACTCATCAATAGTCACCACCACCACCATACTTTGAAACTAAAATGAGACATTACTATAATACATTTTACTTCATGAGCCAATGACTCTTACCTATGAACTAAATTCACAAAATTTCTCCTTCACTGTTTTTTTCTTTCTTCCCTCTGTCCAAAAATGATAAGGCAGACATGTTTGATGTTTATTCATCAATTATATAGTCCAGATTATACCACTGTCTTATTTTCTCAAGGTTTGAGTGTTAAATATTTACTCCTGCCCCAATTTAGTAGCTCACACACAACTAGAAGGCAACCATTAATCCCCCAAAGTATATTTACTATTAGAAATGTAAAAAAATGTGCACTGGGAGGCTGTGGGAAAACAATATTTTTTTAAATATGGGATGTCTTCTTACCAAACATTATCTATAAATCACAAATAGACATGTCTCCATGATAAGATGCAATTAATACTATAGGAACAGCATTTCAATCAATACAGTCTGTTGACTGGAATTATCAATTGGAAATATGCACGGTATCTGGACAGGGGAAGAAATGTAGGATGATCTCCACACCGGGCCCCTATAGAAAAGGTGACCTAGCTGTCCTATGACGGGTGAGACAGGCTTAGCCTGAGGTCCTCTTGCTCTTCATGCATCTGTTTCTGCTGATGATGAAAAGGGCAATAGAGAAATGAGGGTGAACCAGCATCTCCTGCACACATCATGGTCTCTCGCTTCCTTCAGGCTACAATGTCAGGGAACCTCAGGCTTTGTACTGCTCTATAAATAGCAGACAATCTGAATATCCCTACAACACAGACATAAAAACATGCAGGATCTATTACTAACAGGTTCAATCTGGGTTAAAAATCGACACTTCAGCTTTATTAACCTTGTTTCTGAGATAGGACCAGACAACTACACCCTAAGAACTTAACTCCAACTCACGAAACCTTCATAGTTGAACCACTGCAACCCAGAAAACACAGCATCACTGTCTACTGATGATTCTGAGGGTAAATCCTAAGTTATATTTGTAACAAGAAAGTACTACAAATTTTACTGAGAGTGAATATTTAAATATACTTATTTGATAGAAAAGCTATCTTAGCCATTCCTTTGTTAACATTTAACACTTTGTAGATAAGCAAAAGTGAGTCTCTTTTTGTTAATGTTAGTTAATGTGTAAGCTCAATCTCAAATTCATATTTTTAAACACAAGATCGATATGAAACATACACATTTTCTTTCAGAGGATAATTTACGTTGATTTTTTTCATCTATAGAAGTTTTATCACTGAAGTTCTATTTAAGTTCATTATTTAAAGAAAAATAGTCTATCCTAATAGGTGCCCCTTACATTAAATTTAATTATGTTCCAGAGATCAGCAAATAAAGAGGTTAATAATTTTATCAGCTATTTTTCTCATTGATATAACAAAATACCAAAAGCAATATTAAAGAGTGGAAGGGTTTGTTTTGGTTTACAACTAGAGGGGTGCAGCCCAAGGTAGAAGAAATTGCAGCTAAGGAGTAGGGATACTGGTTACATTGCATCAACAGTCTTGAAGCAAAGAAAGAAAATAAACATTTATGCTATGAAACCTCAAGGTCTGTTTCTCAATTACCTACTTCCTCTAGGAAGGCCCCGCCTCCTAAGCTTCTACAAAGTTCCAAAGCAGTGCTGCCAGCTGGGAACAAAATATCCAAACGCATGAACCTATAAGAGATATTTTGTTTTCAATCTGCAACTGGCAATCACATTTAATTCAGTGAAATTTAGCTGAAATCTGATCTGTGTGACTATAATTAATTTATTTAGTGTCAAAGGTAGACCAGATGTTTTAAGATCTCTACATTACCCAATCTGCTCAAATCCTCAGTATCCATGGCCCAAATAATTTCTTTGTCTTGAGTGTGAACAAGACTTGTGTCTTGCTTCTAATGTAGAATATGACAAAGGTGATGTGCTGTGGCTCTTTTTAATGTCCATACTGCATGGAAATTCTGATGGATGTCATCTTTAAAGGGTATAAGATTCCAATTTAGTGGAATGGGCCTAAAGGCTGTCTTTCCAGACTCAGAAAGGCTCAGATTGCAAGAAACTTCTAGCAGTCTCCAACATCTGAGATGACCTCAAGTCAAAAGGTAGCAAAAGTCTTTTGTAGGCAAAAGACACTGATGTTCTGTTCTACAGCAGTACTGATCAAGATGGGAAAAACCCAAATCTTGTCCAGCTGAGTTCCAAGACAAGAGGAAAATGTGTTCATACTTTTACTCTAGCCTTTGAGACCATGGACCAAGAACTCAATAAGGACAAGTCTGGAGTGAGAGGAATTAGGAGACAGTAAATATGTGTAGCGGTAAGCTACTAAATTTGGGTCGTTACACATTTCTTTATCATCAGTTCCTTTCCATGTAAATTAGCAATGTTTGAATCTTCTAGATTAATTGTGGGCACTAAGTAAGACAATTAAATTTCTGAAAAAAATATATATTTATAAGACATATATATATATATGTCTTAGGAAGATGTGAACTCAACTAAGGTTAATAGCAAAGATGGAATCAAGAAT